AAAACTTAAAGATTAATTTGCTCTCTGAGTCGCATTTCAATTTGTTTTCTCGGCTGATTTTTCGAATTGAAAAAAAAAATTGAACATTAAAAAAAATAAAAAATAATCAATAAGCGACGTCGTTTGCCCATTAGCTGACTATCCATCGCTGCTGGCTGTAATTAGATTCGGCTCCTTCTCTCTCTCTCTCTCTCTTTCTCGAAGCCACAGATCAACTCTCTGTAAACTTCTCCTTCTCTCTCTGGGCTTCTTTGCAAGATCGTGATGTGCATTTCTTATCTATTTTTAATCTCGTTACTTCTCGGCCCCTCAGCTTGGGTTTGTTCTATCTTTCTGTTTCTCCATATATGCATCAATATACATTCGAATTTGTGCGGCATATACTGTACACGCACGGATCTGATTGTTACCTTGTTTGAAATGGTTCCAGGCTGATTCTAGTGGTTCAGTGTTCTTCATCGACAACGCAAAGTATCAGTATCTTCGAACTCCACCATTAAACGATGTCGCGAAGGTAATTTCCTTTAATCGCAGTCGAACACTTCTTTTCTAATCAAAATTCAATCACAGGGCGTCCAATTAAGCTACTGCTTATCGATTTTAGCAATCTCTATTGCAATTGATTGTCTTGGAATTACGTGTTTTCCCCCAATTTCATATTTGATTTTCAGTTTAATTGATTATCGATACCTTTTGTGGTTCTTAACAAAATGTTGGGACCTTGCAGTTTTGAACCTTAAATCTTAAATTAAACTAATTTAGAATCAGGTTCTTGTATAATGAATTCTGTGATCTTGGATTTTTACATTTACGTTGGAGTATGTCTTGTCCTTGTGGAGTGAATTTGGTCATCTTCTGTAATTCCTTTATTGGCTCGTAATACTTCTATTATGTTCAAAAGATGTTGGCTGTTGTCTAATTATTCACCTCTTGAATGGGTTTTTAAGTTTCAGTCTCATGCAATGCTGCTCCCTGAAGTTGGTGCTGCTGTGTCGATCTTGCTTGGTTTTGCACCGCTTACCACACTTTCAGCAGATAGCTCATCCAAGGTCTCTGGGCACACCAGTTTATGATACAACATCATTTCTTTTCTTCTTCCCCCCCTAATTGGAAGATTTTGGCTCACAAAACATCATTATGATTTACTTTGCAGTTGAATGCTGTTCTTGCACCTAATCCATTTGATAGGCCTCGGGCTGTTTTTATGCTTGAGGTGACAGGAGTTGACGGTATCTATGATTAAATTCGAACCATATAATAAAGTGATATGTTTTCTGTCTTTTTTCTTCTCTAATTTCCATTCGATATTGCAATGATCTTGTTTCGATATGCAGATCCACATCTCATTCGTAAAACCGAGAATACTATTTTGAGCAACGCCTTTAGAAGTGATGTGGTTCCTCATTCGGATAAAGGCAACATTCAACTTTCTGGTACCTGACCTTTTCATGGAAGTGCTCTTTTATCAGAATTATCATGTAGTCAGGGATTATTCTTATCACATTAGATTGTTTAACTTCTTTACACCTGCTGAAGCTTGGTCATTTTGTGATTTGTTATGCAGATGAGGATGAAATCTCAGTGGTTTATTTGGATGATCCTTTATCAGACTGTACAGACAAAGAAATTAGTGATTTCGTTAGTCATAACTCATTCTCTCCCCTTAATATCTCATTTTCTTGGTTTTCTTTTTAATGTTTAGTCTTTCGTGCATTTGAGTTTGCTGTATTTATCTATTTAGGCATCTTGGTTGAGTGGATCTTATGAGCCTAGTGCCGTGGAAGCCCTGAGCGGAGTGTTGAGTATCCCCTTGGAAAATGGCATGAGTTTGAGTCTTCATATGTCGAAGGTGATATTCAGGGTTCAATTCTCTTCCATTAGTTGTTTATGTTTGATGTTAATATCAGTGAACTGTTTTCTTACTTGGATTTTCTTATTTGGAATCATTATATTGTGAATTTTCACAGAAGTCCGACAGGGATTTTACCTCAAGTCTTCTTGCTCTATCTCACAATATCAGAAGAGCAGTGGATCTGCATGAAGATTTGTCTCAGAGCATTCAAAGACATGCCGAGTTGCTGATTGGTCATTTCAATGGAATAAAAGTATCTGTTCTTTTCCTTGTTTCATTTGTTTTCTTTTTCTTTTTCTTTTCATTTTCTTCTTTTTTGAGTTTCCACAACCACAAGGTAGAAAGTTACTCAATAATATTTTCACATAATAAATGAGAAATGGAATTGCAGTATATATCTGACCAAGAAGGCAGATCGTAGTCTCTTTGAGGGATCATGTTAATTAAAAAAATTAAAAAACCATATACATATTGAGATTGGGTTTGGATAACCAACAAGAATTAGGAATAGGTGGTTGCACTTTTTTTGTTTGGTTATGTTAGATCATGACACATATAGACGGAATGATTTTGGGAATGTCATAGATATTAGTACTATATTGTAAATATGATTGTACGTGGGTGGTACCTCCTTGGTGCTTATTAATTTACCTTTTCCACTTTTTATCTCAAAAAAAACCCAAGTAGTTAAAGAATTGTTTTTATAGAATTTTTTTATCCTTGGTTATCTCAATTGATGTTATATGCTATTTGTGCCCGACATCTCTATGATCCTTTTTTTACCTGAATGATTGATTTACCATATACATATTGAGGCTGGTTTTTGATAACTAACAAGTTAAAGGATTGTTTTTAATAGAATCTTTTATCCTTGGTTATTTCAATTGATGTTATATGCTATTTTTGCCTGACATCTCTATGATTTTTGTTTATTTGAATGATGATTTTACAATTTAATCTTCGTAAAGTTCTTTGTTTATTTTTGTATTATGAACATGCACTTTTTTCTTGAACCTTTGTTGCTTGGTCAATCTTCATACCCTAATCTCTACCTAAGTATGTTGAAGCTATCTCACTTTTCACTCGCCAAATAGAGTGTAGTGGGTGTTTCTTCGTGGATTGTCGCCAGGTGGCGATGATCGTTTTAGATTACTATGGTGGTGGGCTTGAGCCGTTTTTAAGTGGTTGAACAAAAGTCTTTTGATG